GGCAGATATAAGTTGACCAAGGTACCCACCCATCTTCTGGTTGTTTGCAGTCAAGTTATCATGTAGTCAAGTTACCAGTCCATGTCCTAACTGGGCCTGGGATATGCTGCCATCCTGCTTGCACAGCACCAAAACTTCTGCTCTAGAGTCATCACAACTCCCTCTTACAGACTAGAAAATATCTTTCCATTTGTTTAGGCTTTGCTCCTTCCTGCCCAATATCCTTGAAAGGTGGTATGTAGGTTTTACCACATTCTTGAAGCAAGCATTAATTGAAACTTATGTCCCTTTTCTTCTTTGTAAACTTATCTGAGCTTTTTGAATTTTCTCTTGCAAGAGTGACCCAATGAGAGAAACAGAAGGACAAAGTTATGGGGTATCTTTGGGACCCTGTTAAGCTAGAGTTGTATGGAGCTAAGACTAGTATCTGGAGTAGCGAATGTTCTAGGATCTTTTTCAGAATTCATTGCCTCTTTCCCTTCATTGTTCTCCTTAGTTCATAGTGCAGTTTTTGGGTATAATTTCCTTCTCTTACAGATCCCTGGTCAGATAGACCTTGATGGTTCTAGAGTCCTCATGCTTGGTGATCTAGCTCAGTTGAGACCAATTCTCCTGGCAGATCATTCTAATCCCTTCTGTTATCTTCTCACCTGGCAGAGTCTCCCCTGAATCATTTTCCTCTGGCTGTGAACTAAACTCTTTTTTTCCTATGAATTCTCTTCTGCTTTCTTGGTTCCCAGTTCCTAAACACAGTTGATTTCTTCTTTGGGCTTCCAGAGATTTCTCTCCTGTATTGAAGTTGGCCTGTGTAGTCACCTTTGTTTTTGCTACGGTTCATTCTTGCTTTCTTCTGACCCATATGTGGTGTTATCCTTTGTCGTGTGTGTAACCTGATTCTTCTTTTGGTTCCAATCACTTTCTTGCTCATTCTTTTTTTCTTTTGTGCCTCTTGGGTGAAGCTTAAAAAACTGGGAGAGTTTATGTAGCTTATAGTTATTATTGAGTACTTAGAATTTGCTAGATCTTGGGCTAACTGCTTTGTAAGAATATCTTTTTGATCCTTTTAATAATCTTGTGAGGTGGGTATATTTTATTTTGCCAAGTGGGAAACCATGCTTGGAGAATTTTGATTCATCCAGTAATATAACTAGTAAAAGATAAAGCTGGAATTTGAAACTGGGCCTGTCTGACTTCAGAGCCTATGATCTGACTCTTCATCTTGAGTGTGTGTAAAGCTGGCATCTGGACTCTTATGAGTCCATGTGGTGTCTGCCATTTCATCTCCTCCAAAGTAGGTGATCACAGGATACTTAAACACTGACATACAAAAAATTTTCATCTAGTTGGGGGTGGTCTCTTGGTTTTGGGAGGAATGAGTGTGATGTGCATTGTGTTCAGGCCTTGTATCCTTGTGCCCACCCTCCCCCAGGCCCCTTCATGGCTGTGCTCTTTGCCAAACTCGAGAACATGCTGCAGAACTCCGTCTATGTCAACTTCCTGCTGACGGGGCTGGTGGCCCAGCTGGCCTGTCACCCCCAGCCCCTGCTCCGCTCTTTCCTGCTCAACACCAACATGGTCTTCCAGCCCAGTGTCAAGTCCCTGCTGCAGGTGTGCGATGCATGCATGCATGGGTGCGTCCAGGCTCCATGGTGGGCCAGGCCCGCAGCTGGAGTGGCCCTGGGGGGACTGGGAACAGGCTCAGTGGGACTAGAAAGGACTGTCAGTCTAGAGCCACACAGAAATGTCATGAAGTTGTGCTTCATAGGTGCTGGGTTCTGTGAAGAATAAAATTGAGAGCTTTGCGGCCTCCCAGGAAGACTTCCCAGCACTGCTGTCCAAAGCCAAGAAGTACCTCATTGCCCGTGGCAAGTTGGATTGGGCCGAGGGCCCTGCAGCAGGACCTGCCGCCCGCCGCTCTGATCCCCTAGGTGAGGCCTACCCCACCACTCTACCCCTCTCCCTACCTTCCCTAGATAGCTTATTAGCCAAGGTTAGTTTTGAGCTCTTAAGAGTGAATTCTGTGCCATGAAGTGAGGAATTGCAGAAAATTGAGTCTTGATGTTTGTTTATTTGGCTCTGGTCAGAGGATAAAATACAGTTACATCCACCAAGAGCCAAATCAGCAGCACCAGCAAAAACTGCTTAGGAGTTGAGGACAGGCAAGGGGACAGAATAGTCTCTAGATTGAGGTATTGTTACTGCTCGGGAAAGGACATGGCATTTGACATGGTCCTTGAGAGATAGTTAAGACTTGGGTAGGCAAAAGAATGGGATGGCTTTATTCTTTTGTCCAGGGGACTGTAGGAACTATTTAGTTGGAGCAGGGGATTTAGAAGGTGGTGGAATAGTTGGTAGTAAGGCTGGAAAGATTTGGCCAGAGCAGTAGGTGCTCAGATTAGAGATTGAGCGGAGTAGAAGTTGTGATCTTTTAGGCAGTGAGAACCCACTGGAGGTTCGTAGATGTGAGAGTGGAGAGATAAGCATGTTAAGCTCATGTGCTAGGTGAATTGGAGACAGGAGAAAATAGAGTCAAGAGGCTTCTGCTGTATTGCAGCTGTGACCAGCAAGGCTTGAATTAGAATAGTGGAAACAGAAAGGAAGAATTGGATAAGGTAGGAAATGGAAAGGAAGTATTGGCAGAATCTGGTGAATGGTTGTAATATATAGTGAAGAAGGAAGAGTTAAATATGCAAGTGTCTCCTTGCCGTATGTGCTGGCCGTTGGCTTTGGAACAGGAAGCTCAGGGAGATACAAGATGAGACATCTGCTTTCTAAGAGCTGACAGTCAGTCTAGAGAGTGACTAGAGAAGTGTCATAACTGAGAAAGCAAGGTCCCAAAGGTGGTAGATGTAGTGGCATCTAGTGCATGAGGAAAGGATTAACTTTGGATGGGAAAAATTCCCCCTCCCGTCCAGGCAAATAAGGATAGATAAAAGGTGGAAATGATATGTATCCATGGAGTTGTGAGGTGCAGAGAGGAAGGTCAGGAAATTGAAGTCCTTTATTTGCTAATTAAAATAGGAGGCAAAATAATCTGCTAAGAGCAAGAGAGCAGCAATAAAATGGAGGATCTTGAGAGATGTGGGTTGGGAAGACAGTACCAGAATGGTTATTATACGGCTGAAGTTCCTTAGCATGATTCCCCCATGGTACAGTACTGTGAAGGTGTCTTATGTCCATAGTATTGGTACTGTGTTCACTGTGGAGGTAAATAAGAGTCTGAACCCTTGAGTTTACAGATTACTATATGAGATAGAAGACCTATACATACATAAGTTATTTCAATACAGTGTGATAAAGGCAGTGAAATGGGAAGCCAGTGGAGGGTAGATCAGAAGAGGTTTCTCAGAGGGGTGGGGATAATGAGATTAGGCCAAGGATGAAAACAGTAGGGAGAGTAAAAATAAGGTAGAGAGGGCTACCAAAGCATGAAAAGAGCCTAGAGGGTTTCAGGAAAAGCAGATAGTGTGGGTACAAAGGCAGGGGAAGGTATAAAGAGTTTGGAGAAGGGGCTGGAGGGGGCATGTGAGCCTGGTTGTGAAGGCTTCTGAATGCCATATTTAATAGATCTGTGTAGCATATCTCTGTAGCCAGTGTTAGAGATAGAGAATGGGAACTGTAGCATGCTGTAGAAGCTAGATCCTCAGAGTCTAGGCCCTACATATTGGACAAAGATCCAGATCCAGGAATCTAGGAAGAAAATTATAGGAGAGAGGGCAATATTTTAAATGGTTTATTTGAGTCTAAGCTGAGATGAAGTTGTCTGGCCATGTAAAGTTGTCTAAGCTGATGTGAATTAGAAAGGGTGCTTTGGTAGATAGAGGAAAGGGATTGGTGGTAGGCAAAGTGGGGGCATAGGAAAACAGATCCTGGAGGGTTAGTGGAGTTTGAGAGAAGTGGTGAAGCCCCTGAACTGTGATTGCATATATGGCCCTGTGGTTGTGGAAGGAGCAGAGGATATGGGTCATGTGTTATAGGCAGGCAGAGGGAAGGTGGAAGTGGTTGGCTCCAGTTCAGGAGCGTAAGGTAAGGGTGTGTTATGGACTGAGGGGAAAGAGCTTAGTGATGGTAGAATATTGATTGGAAAGGGAGGAGTAGTGAGAGAGTCCCTGCGGTGAGAGGGTGTGGGGAAGGGGTCTTGGTTGGGAATAAGTGGCTCAAGTGTTGACTGACGGATGGTTGGCTGGGTGGGGAGGCTGGATAGAGGGAAGAAGTTCAGCAGGCAGCATTTTGGTTTTTGAGTCCTAGTTGAGACATCCATGAACCCAGGGAGGGGGGCATCTCTCTCAGATGGGGAGAGTGTGCCTGACTCCAGCACCTTCACAATCCCCGATACCCATTTATTCCCAGTGAAGAGCCGGAGGCCATCCTTGGGGGAGTTGCTCCTGCGGCATGCACACAGTCCAACCAGGGCCCGGCAGGCGGCACAGTTGGTTCTTCAGCCTGGGAGAGACGGCGCAGGACTTGGCCTAGGTGGGGGCTCCCCTGGGGCTTCAACTCCAGTTCTGCCCCCTCGGGGTGGGGCCCCTGAGCGCCAAGGTGAGGCTCTGCGAGTCAAGAATGCGGTCTACTGTGCAGTCATTTTCCCTGAGTTTCTCAAGGAGTTGGCTGCCATCTCCCAGGCCCATGCTGTCACCTCGCCTTTCTTGTTGGATACTTCAGAGGAGGGATCTGGCCCTCCTGTCTCAGGCTTTGGGCCCCTCAATCCTTAACTTTCTTCCATGGACAATCAGAGCCTCACATGGCCTGGGCCAGGGCCGGGGTGTAGGCTCCTTTTTATGTTTGGAGGCAGTGGCAAGAGGACTTTTTAATTTATTTCCGATGAATGTTTTATGGAGAACTTGTTGCAATATGTATAAAAGGGAAATCTCTATTCTGTGCTCATTCTTCTTTCCCACCCTTTTTTCTGGGGCTGCAGCCCCAGGAAGGTTGTATATAAATGGGGAGGTCAGGGGTATTTTCTCTCTCATGGGGACATTGGTACTGAGGTTTCAAGGTGCTTCTTATGCCCTTAAAGGATGAGGGGGTCATGGAGCCTAGGGAAGAAAGTAGGAACTCTCCTCCATCCCCCAGAAGGAAGAAGCAGCATGGGTCCAGCATGGTTTGGGGGAGCAGCAGCTGATGTTTATTGGGGACCAGTATCCCTATACCAGATCTTGGGGGCCTCGCCCCCTGCATCTCTCACCTCAGCTTCATTCGTCGCTGTCGAATTCTGAGGACAGACCCTGCAGCAGGGGCAGGGACATGGAGTGCCGGTCGGGGTCCCCGGGGCCCCCACCCTGGACTCCTGGTGGGGGGCTGCGGGGGCTGAAGAGCCAGTTCTCTGCCAGGGTTGGGGATAGTCACAGCTTGACTCATGCCCTGGTCTTTCTGCCTCCCTGGTCCCTCCCTGGCCCTCTGTGCTGTGCCCACCCCCTCACCAGGACCAGGCTTCCACCTCATTGCCCCCCAGCTCCCTCACTCCATCCCCTTTACCAGGATCCAGTGTGGAGTTAAGGGTGCCCCACACATTCCTGGGGCACACATTCCTATATTCCCTATGCTCTTTCCTTCCACCCGATCCCATCCCTCTCAGCTTCATATCCCCTATTAGTACCTGACAACATTTGGGGCCTCCTCCGGAAGGGGTTTCGACCCTTGTAGGAGAATCTGGTGGGTCTGCCTCCTGGCCCTTCCTGTGGAGGTGGTGTAGGTGGGGCTGGGACAGGTGGGGGCACATCAGCAGCTTCAGGGATATTGGCAGGGGCTGATGTAGGGGCCAGAGATGGCAAGATGCCGAGGTTGGGTCTGACCCAGTTGGCACCATGGGGCAGTGGATCTTTGGTCAGAGGCTTCTGCGGGCCCAGCACTCCTTTGGGCTGCAGTGAAAACTTGAGGCAGGAGAAGGCAACAGGCAGTGACCGTTGTAACCGAAGCAGCTGGGGCTCACGGGCTGTAGGTAACAGCCCGAGCTGCAGCCAGGAACAGGAGAAGACCTGGTAGATGACATAGATGCTGTGGGTACTTCGGAGCCAGGGAAGATTTTGCTGTAGGCTCACCTGCCCTGGTGGCAGCAGCAGGAAGGCCACTTTCTTGCGCAGGCCACCGATGTGCAGGCGGATCCGGCAGGGCTGCCCATCCAACAGTCGCATTTCTTCATAGGCTATCTCTGCTCTGCCGTTTGGTGAGTATTCCCGAGTGCAGTGGGCAAAGGCACCCTCAGACCCTGCCTGCTCCAGGAGGTTTGGTAGTGGCCCCACTGGCTGTAGTGCCCGCCGACCCTGCCGACCTGGTAAAGCCAGGCGGGTGTGGGCTGGGCGGGACTGCTTCACTAGCACACCCAGTAGATCATAGCAGGCTGCATCCGACAGGAAAGGGACTGCCACTACATTGGGCCCAAAGCGCTCCTCGATAACCTGCAGATGGCCAGTTTATAGGTCAGGGACTGAGTCAGGAGTTACCTGGTAGCCTACTCTTGATTGACCCTCCCACTGTTCACTGTAACTACATCTCCACAATGTGCTCAGACTGTTAGGTTTCCTCCTTATTTCCTAGTTCTGTCCTGTAGCAAACCCTTGAATGTCTATCATGTGCCAGACCCTGCAGATACTGGGAATACATAAAAACATGAGACTTGGTCTAATAGAGGAGACAAAAATACAAACAGTAGTCAGCTAAATAAAATAATAGCAAGGTGTGGAGGAGACCAGAAGTGATTTAACACCTTTTGTCTTTGACAGAAGAGGATCAGAGAAGGTTCCTAGGTGGTAATACTTGAGCTTTGAGGAAATTAGCTAGGTAGGATGGTCAATCCAGGGAGAGGATACAGCCAGTTAAAAAACCTGAACTTATAAACTAAGAAGGGCAATTCAGGAACGCATAATTTCATAGTACTTAAACATAGGGTCTGAAGAGGGACAGGAATACGGGAACTAGACTATGGAAGATCTTGTGTGTGCTAAGTGATAGGGATTTGATACTGAGGTCAATGGAAAACCACTTGGAGGGCTCTGGGTAAGAGGAGCAGGATCAGAAAGGTGCTTTAGAAAGTTATGTTGAGGGATGCCTCAGTGGCTTAGCGGTTGAGCATCTACTTTCGGCTCAGGGTGTGATCCTGGAGTTCCGGGATCGAGTCCCACATCGGGCTCTCGCCATGGAGCCTTCTTCTCCCTCTGCCTATGTCTCTGCCTCTCTCTGTGTCTCTCATGAATAAATAAAATCTTAAAAAAAAAGTTAATGTTGAATAGCAAGACAAAATAAGGAGAGAGAAAGATCAGTTAAGAGTATTATAATACTGCAACCAAAACATGGCGAGGCCTTCAACTAAAATCATGGGGGAGGATCTGTAGGGTATAGAATTAGTAGTAGAAGTTGGTCAGTTAAGGAGTCTGGGAAAAGGAATCATGAAGGAATATTCTTAGATGACTGGTTAGATGGGTGATGTCATTCAGTACAGTGGGTACACAGGGAGAGGTTTGGAATGACCACTCTTCAACATCTGCTCTGGCTGCAAGGAGTAGTGTTAGGGATTTGAGGCCTCATCTCTGTAATGCTGGTCCCAATATGCTTTTAGGGATTCTAGTGCCTCTTGGTTTTGTCCTTCTTGTCTTGGCTTTTGGTTTGGTAATCCAGTTCTGGAAAGTTTAACTTCATGACCAACTTGGAAACCTTGTAAGATCCCCTCTAGTAATTGTACATAGGTTTGATCTCTACTCACCAAAGATATTGCTGGTCGAGACTCTGGCTCTGTGTTCTGTTAGGGAGTACAGAAAATTCCCTGTTTGGGTCCCTTTTCTGTTTGAGACCTATTCTGAAAATGCTCTGTTCTACACCTCTTCCTCAGCCCCCAGTTCCAACATGTCTGTCTCCCTATTGCTGGCATTGGCCACTTTGATGGTCTTCTGGTAGAATTCATCAATGATCCCTTAAGGCCAGTTTGGATTTTGCTACATAGAGCTGTTTTGGAAGTGCTGCCCCGTAGCATGAGAGGAGAGTAGCTAACTGATAGAGTTGCACTTAAAACAAGCTGAGATAGCTTGAAGTCTGCATCTTTTGTCACCTAGCAAGGAAATAAATGGTGCTCTTTCTTAATCTGCATGGAAGAATTTCCCATTATTCCTCTCCTTTGCTTCATTGAGACATGGAATTCTTTCTGGTGGGGGCATCAGGCTGAAGGACAGGGCTCTGAGAAGGTCCATTTGGGTTACCAGGGGTGACAGCAGAGCACTGGTGGTTTGGCATTTTTGTGTAGAATGGTCTGCCCCATGACAAAGAAAGTGTAGTCACCATATAACTTTAGAATGCTACCCTAGCTGGTCCCTAGGATCCTATACAAATAAGACAAATAGGAGTGTCCCCAGAAGGGGATACTTTAATGGGATCTTGACATTTAAAATTCCTAGTTCTGGGGCACCTAGGTGGCTCATTTGGTTAAGCATCTTCTTTGTTTTTGGCTCAGGCCATGATCTCAGGGTCCTGGGATTGAGCCCTGTATTGGGCTCCCTGCTCAGCTGGGGGTCTGCTCCCTTGCCCTCTGCCCCTTCTCCCTGCTTGTGTTCTCTTTTTCTGTCTCATAAATAAAATCTTAAAAAAAAAAATTCCTAGTTCTTATGGTCCAAGTGTCTGTTTAAAGATGAATCCCTGATTTAGTTGGAGGCTTTTCCCCAGAATATAGATACTGCCGTTTGTGGGGGATTTATTATTAGTCCCTCTTTCTTACCCTTGAGGCCCCCAGTAAGTTATACTAAAATAGGGAAAATAAGGCACTCATTTCTATGCCAGGGTGACTATTCTTGGTAGAGTCACCATTTGAGACCACTACCTGTTCCCACTGCACTTTTACTTCTGGGTGAGTTCTGTGAGACATAGAGGCCTGCAAATTGAGATCTCCCAGGGACAACCTGGGAAGGTGAGTGTGGAAGACTATCTTCCTGGATGTACTTTGGCTGGTTTGGATTCTGAATGAGGAACTCTTGAGCCACATTCTGGTTAGCTGTACGTTCTACAAAGTGTTCAGTTAACTCTCAGCAGTTCTGGAGAGAGGAAACCAGGTCACTCAGAGGTGTCCTGCGCCTTGATTTTGGAAAATATTACCAGTGATTTATCCTCAATGTCTATGTTGCCTTTCCTGATAATTTTGCCTTTAACTAGGGAATTTTTCTGATGGTCAGAGATCGTGTAGCTTTTTACTAGTTGATGATCACATTAACGTTCATCCTAATGAAATGTTTGATCTTGTCTAGACCAACCTTTTACACTGCTGAAACCAGGTACTTTGAACTTGGGAGGGCCTTGGCTCCTGTTTCTACTTCCCTGGGAGGCTGACCTTTGTGGTGAGCTGCTGGAGTTACATGCTATTAAAGTTGCTTTGAGTCTGATAGGCACTACTGTAGGATGGTTTTTTTAAACTTGCTTGGCTGCCTTCAATGAGTGTTTGAAATTCATTACTCTTCAAATTACATAACTGGAATCTGATCCCTAAATTCTCCAAATTCAGAAATTGAGCCATCCTGATTTGGTGGGACATCTGCCTGCTCCTGAAAATCTACATATTTTGCTCAAAACCCAAATTTTCCATTCTGTGGAAGTTAAAGGTGAAGAGGTCGAAGTTTCTTTAGAAAGTTTAAAGGGCCCTTTGTGATCAGCCCCTGTACCTCTTTGGCCTCATTTTCACTACTACTCATTTGAACTCTACTCTAGAGGACTATTCGTAGTTCACAAATACATAGTTTTCTTTTTCCTCTCCTGGCTTTTATATGTGCTCTACCTTTAATTAGGACACCATTCACTCACTCACTCACCTGCCCACCTACTCGTTAACTCAGGTGTTTATTAAGCACCAAATATGAATCAGGAATTCCTTTTCCCTCTATATGAGAATTATTTCTCCTTGCCTAGCTAGAATGTCACTCTCCAGGAAGTCTTCCTGACCTAAGTCCTACATTGATTTAGCACTTATTTCTGTTCTCACTGATTCCTATTGCTTTTCAAGGAACCTTTTTCCAGTTTTGCAATTGTGATGAAATTGGACTGTGTGCAAAGCACTTAGTGCAGTGTCTGGCATGTGAACAAGCACTGAGTAAATACTAGTTACTATTGTCTCCAGGCTTCCCACCCCTTCCTACTCATAAGTTGCTCAGACTCATCTAGGTTACACTTTGTTACTTTCTTTTTAGCCCTCTTACTTTATTCTTGATGAGAGCCCACGTGGCATCAGCTTCATCCAGTGTCAGCAGGTGGGGGGTACCAACTAACATGGTGGGTTGTGGGAGGGGTTAGGCAGGGCAGTGGCTGCTGCAGGAACCCCAAGCTGCCCAAGGAGGTGAGGCCCCAAGCCTCAGGCTTTGACCTACTATAGCATGAGGTCATAGAGGTCCTGTAGATAATGGGGCCTTGGGTGGGGAGAGGGCAGTCACTTTACTAGCCTCACTATGCCCATAGCCTGATACCATACCCTCAAGTCACTTATCCATTCTCCTCCTCAGGGGAGAAGAATGCAGGTGTGTCAGGGTGCATTTGTATATGTCTGTGTGTGCATGTGTGAGTGCTGGTGTGTGTGTATTTCTTGGCCTGAGTTATTTAAGGAAGCAGAATCAGATTTCCCCCTTCAGTAGCCTCCTGAAGCAGTTTGCTGTACTATCTTATCAGCTGCAGATGACTTCCTTGTGAGGTTAGATAGGGGTCCTGAAGGACATGGGAGAAATATAAATCAGGACTTAGACTGAGAACTAAGCAGTAGTTCTTAACCTTGGTCATACTTTGGAATTATCTGGGAGCTTTAAACACTACAAATACATGGATCCTACCCCCAGGGATTCTGATTTAATTGGTCTGGAGTGTGCCTAGGCATTAGGATTTCTAAAAGCCTCTCAGGCAATTCTTAGGTGCAGCCTAGGTTGAAACCTATTATTAATGAGTAGGTTACAGTTGCAGTGAAAACCAGGTGTGTGTGTAGGAGGGTGCCATATGAGTGGTGACAATGTGGTGGATAAGAATCTAATTGGGATAATGTTGCCTTAGTAACTGAAGAGGACTTTCAGGAAGCCAGAATTATCCAGGTAAATTTGAGGAAATTTTTCTCCATGCGCCATTCCCTGTCCTAAACTAATCTGTGTCTAGTTGGCATTCTCCTACTGCCGTCCTAATCTCTGTGTGATTTCCCCTTGTGTCTGTCCCAGAGATCTCAACCTGGTGTTTGCTGGATAAGAAGAGTGGCTTTTTGGAGAAGAACCACTCTGGAGAGCCTTTCTAGTAGCTACTCTCCCACTCTACCATTTATCTGTCCAAAGAGTCTTCTTTTGAGTCCCTCTAGAGAGTCTTCTGCATCCCCAGGAAGACCACTTCTGTATGGGGAGCATTCTTTCCTATTCTGGCCTAACATGTAGGGCTGTCCCATGAATTTGGCTATCCTCTGATCTGGCTGAAGTGGTCTCTCTAGACAGGGCTAAGGGTGTGGGTGCTAGGTGTTTAAGATTTAACAGTGGACAGGGGACTATGCTCTAGGAGAGGAATTGATATTAAATATTTGTTGAATTGTTGAAGTCATGTATGTTAGAAGCTGTGCCAAACACTTTGAATTCATTACCCTGGTTAATCCTTTTAGTAATGCCATGAAGTAGGTACTATTATTTCCTCATTTTACAAGTGAATTGATGGGCTCATAGAGGTTAAGTAGATTAATACAAGGGATGCAGTGAGTTAATGGAGGATCTGGGATTCAAATCCAAGTTGGCCTGATTCCAGCTTTTAAATTTAAATTTGAATGGTAGTTCCTTCTTGTGGAGGGAGAAATTGCTGTGTCCTTTCTGCTCTCCTGAGTGTATGGTGGGAGGGTGCCTGCTCAGTGGACATGCAAAGTTGTGTACTGAAAAGGAAGTGGGCAGGATGGGAGAAATGCTGCAGTAGACCAAATGAGAAACCCCAAACTTCTTATCAGGGCAGGAAAAACCAAATTTCTACTCTAGTGCCCTCTTCGCTCTGGACTAGGAGTGGTCTTTGGTGTAGTATAGTTGGTACCTCTGTTCCCTTCAGAAAGGAATCCTGAGTGAGCTAGCAGTGGGGGAGAGACATTATACCAGGACAAGGGACACAGACAGTGCAAGGAGGCAGAGATGCAAAGGTACAGACATGAGAGTTACTGATAAACATAGGCAGGGGATGGTGTACATCCACATCCTGAGGGGGTTCTAGAATGAGAAGGGAATGAATAGGGTAGGGACAGGGATGATGGGCTGTTGGTGAAATATGAAGAGGATTTTTTCAGATTTTCATAGAGGAGGCTAAAAGGGTAAAATTAGGTATAGATAAACACCTCAGCCAGAAGCCCATGTCTTCATCTCTTTTGCTGATGATCATAATTCTTTAAGCTCCCTGCATTCCACACTGCCCTACCCTGACATTAAGTGAGTCTGTTTTTCCCTTTGGCTCATAGAGTCTGAGATTGAAAGTTGCTGAAGGAAAACAAATGATGACTGAGTTCTGGATGGAGTTGAGCCTAAGGGCTGAGCTGTTTGGGCCATACCTGGTCATGGGGTTGTCTCTAGTGTGGCACATACTGGGGTTTCCCTGGACACAGATCATCTGCGTCATATCTGAGTGGTGACGACTGCAGAGCATGAGAGGAACAAACAGGCAGGGGCTGGTTATTTAGGAAACATGAGGTTCTCTGTAAGAACCTCCAGGACAGTATAGAATAGTGTTGATAGCCAAGCCTTTGGAGGAATAAAGAGCCCTAACTAGTCTCTTCACTACTCTCAGGCTACAGGGATAACTGTACAAGTCCCTATTTGAAACCTTTAGGGGTAGATATATTTTGGACTTCAGATTTTCAGGTTTTAGAAAGGGAATATAGTGCCTTTATCATATATAAAGGAGTACCCCAGTGAGGTTTAGGGCAGTACCCTATAATCAAACACATCAATATTTCTGCAGCTAAAGGTATGAATATTCACACCAAGTGAGATAAATAAAATACTATAAATACCATCGTGACGTTTCAGGTTGGGTTTTGAACCAAAGTCATGAAAAAGCTATTGTTTCTTCAGATATTTTTTTTATTTTGGAATTGTGGATGAGGGACAATGGGATTACTCCCAGATTGTTGTGAGGAGTAAGGGAGTGCTGGTAGTTTTCTAAACACATCACACGGTAGGTGTGTGATCTCAATCCAAAACAAAATACTAATGTCCAAGTGGGTGGATTTTTGGCCTGAAGAAAGAAGGTTCTTGCAATGAATAATGCACGACTTTGAAATCAGCTGCCTTGGGGAGCTGTGCACAACCAGGGAACGAAGGTGCCTTAGACAGGAGGTTTCCTGTGGTGGGAAGGTGATAGAATTCATTGCTTATGAACATTGACTGCATAGGATTTCCCTTTTCATGTACCACAGGGGAAAGGCAAAAAATGTGCGTAATGTGTATGTGTGACAGGGGATGTCACATATACATTTCTTTATAATAATGTTGTAATAAATATCTTACTGCATACATCTTTGTTTACATCTCTAATTATTTTGTCAGGATAGATTTATTGAAGAAGAATCCCTGAGAGAAGGATATGGACATCTTAAAGACTCATGACCAATTAAGATTAGATTTTGTCACAATTACCCACAAAATCATTACCTGAGGAGTTTTTTTTAACTCCGAATTTCATGAAAAAGATTAGTTTTGAGAATGACTAAGCCCACACTTGAGGAAAACTGTAGATCTCCTCAGTGTGACAACACCTCTGAAAATCATGTAGAACTCTGTACTATCTCTTTAGCTCCTTGTTAATGAGGACCTGGTGAGACCCCATGTGGCCCTGGAGAGGATGTCACCTGCTTTTTCAGATCTGCAGCCTCCTCTTCTGTGTGGTATCCCATGGTGTTTGGCCCAGGTATCTGTGCTGAGTGGTCAGCACTGCACTTCGCTTTAGGTCTTCATGGCTGACTTTAAGACCTGCAGTTATGGTAGTTTCCCCAGAGCTTGGGTCTACTTGTGCGGCCTGCAGCTTTCTCAGATCTTATAATGGTGAATCCCTGCCTTTTGTCTGAGATTATATTCATTTTTGGCTCCATGCTGGTGTGAAAGAGCTTTTGCACAATGTCCCTTCCAGTATAGATTCTTAACTGAGTTAATCTCCTGTTGGGCAACACCATGATGCTTCCTGTGTAATACCTCTATTCTCTGGTAGCCACAGCAGTGGGAAATACTCCTGTTTAATCATATATCACCAACATCATATGCTTCTAGTGATGTTAGCTAGGACAAATGGGGGTGTTGATGTGGATTTTATTTGAGAATTCAACGTTCTTGGCTGAGGATGCAGAGAAGAGCAAATTCATAAGAGACCACAGTGACTGGATGTCAGGCAAGCAAATGAAGTGATTATAATGATTTCCTGGGATATAAAAATTTCTTTCAGTTGGACCTTTGACTCCTGAGGCTTTAGGCCCAGGAAGAGAAATTCTAGCAATTAATTCTTGAGATATTGACAGGAGAGTGGGGGTAATTACACATTAGACAAGGAGGATTCTCTGAACTGGGAATGGCAAAGATCAGTGTGCTGGCCAAATTTGGGACCCTAGTCTGGGTGCATTATCCAGATTCTCAGAATGTGGGGAATAAGCCTGTAATTCCTTCCCTAAGGACAGGATGAAAATAGAATCTGGCTCCAGAAATGGAGAGGACTATGATCCCAGACAAGTACCCAAACACTTGCCTCCTGAGGCAGCATCACTCTTCCTAGACCCCCAGGTCTAGCATCTGTAGGGGAGCTTTTGTGTGGAAACACGGGGAGACTTAGGTTAAAATGATGGAGGGGCTAGGGAGGAGAGTTTTCTTTAAGTTAAATCTCACGTACTATAAGCCATGATAACTCCTGATCTTATTTCCCTGCATGGTAATGTGTAGCCCTCTACCTCACTCCTCCCAAGCAAGATATGTGGATAGGCTAAAGTCTGCAGATGCTAGTGATAATGGATAGAAGAGACTTCACAGCAAATAGTTGTTGAATGGTTATCACAGTCATCTGTAGACAGTGGGACAAACATGACATAATCCCCACCTCCAGGCTCTAGACTCTTGAATGTTCCCTCACCTCCACCAGCAGGCTCTATTGTTTTGTGCTCATTAGAGCTGGCTTTTTCTGAATGTGAAGGTTTCCAGGAGCCGGTCCCTGATTTGCTTGGTGCGGACTCCATAGATGAGTGGGTTGAGGGCAGGTGGCAGCAGCAAATAGATGTTAGAGAGAAGAATGTGCACAGGCTTTGGGATGGTGTGACGACCAAAGCGATGTGTGAGGTATGAGAAGAGACCAGGTACATAGAAGGCCAGAATGACACAGATGTGGGAACTACATGTGCCAAAGGCCTTGGCCCGGGCCTCCCAGGTAGGCAGCCGCAGTACAGTGTGGGCAATGAGTCCATAAGAGCCAGCGATGCCCAGGATATCTATGCCTGACACGGCCAGTGAAAGTGCCAGCCCATACAAATTGTTAGCTTGTGTGTTGCCCACCACCAGCTCTACCACTGCCATGTGTGCACAGTAGGCATGGTCTATGGTCTTGGCTCGGAAGTACTCAAATCGCGCCACCAGCAGAGGGAAAGGCACAACAATAGCCACAGCTTTCAGGGCCAGTGCCAGTGCTGCATAGCCTACACGGGCTTTGGTGATTAGGAGAGGGTAATGTAGGGGACGCCCTACTGCCACAGCACGATCACAGGCCATGGCCAACAGTACACCGGATTCCACAGCAGTCAGTGCATGAACAAAGAACATCTGGGCCAGGCAGGCACCATATGGCACAGGCCGGGGCCCAAGCCACATCACAGCAAGCAACCCTGGGGCTATAGATGTGGCTAAGCCCAGGTCTGTGGCTGCCAGTGTGGCCAGGAGTAGAAACATGGGCTGCTGCAGTGTGGAGTCTATCTGCACCAATGCCAACAGTGTTCCATTGCCCAGCAGGGCCAGCAGATACATGGGCCCAAAGACCAGTGTCAGCCAGACCTGGGTACCCCCTAACCCTGGAATGCCAGTCAGTATGAAGAAAGTGGGGCGTGGGAAGGTGGAGTTGGGATGTGGACCTTCTGCCATCCTGTGGGGGCAAAGCTTTAGGGCTCATGGGGGCATGACTCCTGATAGGGGAGAGATATTGGAGGGTGTTACAGTGGCATAGACCCATCCATGGGGTATGTGTAGGGGGAGTGCAGGGTTGGGGGGTCACAGGGTTATAATCTTTGGTTGGGGTTTTGGATAAATAATCAAAGTCACTACCCTAGCTTAGATGGGAGAATCCTTTGTGCCTAAAAGCCCATGAGTGTTGTAGGGGGACAAATGGGGGGGAGGGACACTGGTATTGAGAAATGAGGGCCTCACTGTTGCAGTGGCTGGTATAGCTGGAGGTCACCTGAGGGTTGGGGCTGAGATGAGTGTTTTTCTTCCTCAGGGTCCAAAGTAGAGTCCATCGCAGTCTCCTTAAGGTGGAGAGAAAGCCAGAGCTGGTGGGGGATCAGGCCCCAGGCTGTACTGTCCTTGATTGTATATCCTTAGGCAGAGCTCCTGGGCCTCAGCTTCCTCAGCTGTACAGTGGGGCTGGACACAATGATTGTAGTGTTGTCCAGCTTTAACATTCTGGGTATCAACCCTTGGAGAAGAAGAGTAGAGAGAAGAGGAGAAACAAGAGGAGGAAGATTGGATCTGCAGTGAAGCTGGAAGCCTCACGTGACAGGAGAAAACCTGGGTTTTTGGGGTGCTTACATTATTTTTACCTTGATGCTAAAGTAGTGAACTTGAACACCTGCTGGAGAGTTGAAGTTGGGCGGTAAAAAGCACTGACAAAGAAATGGCAGCATAAAAGGGAACTTCTCTGTCTCCCTTCCTTCTTCACAATCCAGAAAGGGGTCCCACTAAAGTCTTATTCCTGGGGTGCCAGAGGGAGTGGAGCTTCCAAAGGGGGAGGAAATGCACTCAACCCAGAGTAGCAGCCATACGTGGAAGAAGCATCTCTGATGTAGGAGGAGGTCAGGTGAGTAGAACCGATTTTCACCCAGAATCTAGCTCACGGCAGAAGATGAATAAACATTGAATGGATAAATGAACAGGAGGAGAGCACCCCAGAAGACTTGACTGGAGAAAGATCCTGAGCACTGTGTGTTGGCACCTTCTCTTCACCTTGACCAATGCCTATGGGGCCCTTTATGAAGCTTCTTACCTGCTCCCCTCAGGGACCTTACCCCTCCCACCTGTGCCACATTAACTCTTCCCTTTGCTGCCTCCTTGCTCAGGGCTGACAGCAAGATAACTCAGGAAGTAGAGGAAGGAGGCAGAGGTGGGGACAACAAGGAAAGAGACTGATTTATAGGAGTGGAGAGATCTGGGAAAGAGGAACACTTCCTCCTTCCAGTCTTTGCTGATTCCCTGAAGTCTGGAGAGAAGCCCTTGCTATATTCTTGAATAGCATTGATCCCACTCTATTGTAATTACTCGTCTCTCTCCCTTCCACCCCCATCCCCAGATTGAAAGAGTTGTAGGCAGTGCTTCTTATTAGCCAGCATCTCTACTGCTCATCACAGTGCCTGGCATCTAGTTGTCTATGAATAAATATTTATTGCTTTTAATTGTGTGATAGTACTGCTGGCCCAAACAGCATTTACTGAATAACAGTGGCTCCTACAGTTTCAGGAGCCTTTGGTATCCATGGAGATGAGAAAGAAAAGTTATTCACTATCAGCCACGAGTCCACTGGGTATGATTCTGTTCTAAGGAGACCTATCCTAAAAATCAGCACAGTATGCAAGATAATGTAATAAAAACAAGCCTTGTGGGAAAGGTGGCAATAGGGTACAACATTCAAAAACCTTGTCAGTGACACATTTAAAAAAGGATAAGACCCTAATAAAAATGGCACCATTTTACATATGTTAACTGGTTAGAAAGCACATAAACACACCAATAAATATGACACATTACCTAGAGTTTTCCTTGTGGAACCATTAGAGGCTTGTGAATAATTGAGAAATGGTAGAAGGGGAGACTATGATAGTCCCCCTTATCTGTGGTTTCACTTCTGCAGTTTCAATTGCCCGCTGCCCTCAACCACTATTGGGAAGCAGATGATCCTTTCTGATGAGCATCAGGTCAATTGTAGCCTAACACTACGGTCACAATGCTGTGTTATTATACCCCTAACTTCGTGTCCTCATGTAGGCATTTTATCCTTTCACATCATCACAGGAAGAAGGGTGAGTACAATGCAGTAAGTTATTTTGAGAGAGAGAGAGAGAGAGAGCACATTCACATGACTTTTATTACAGCATATTGCCATTGTTATCAGTTATTGTTAGTCTCTTGCTATGCTTAATTTATAAATTACACCTTATTATAGGCACGTATGATAGGAAAACACCGTATAGGCATACCTCATTTGATTGTGCTTCACTTGATTGCACTTCACAAATAATGTATTTTT